GAACTGGGAGTCGCCGCGATTCCAAAGTCCCATGAAACGCGAAGAAGATCGAGGAAGGAACGAGCGAACGGAACATTCGGCGAACCTCTCGGCGACTAATTAACTAACGAACTGACGCACAGGTCGAACGACCGTATTCTGGACAAACGTCGATAATTGAAACGGTACGAGTGATACAAACATGCTTCGGACAAAAGTTTTATAGAGCTAAACATACGGTGGTCTCATTTTGTTTACATTATGGGGATGTTATGAAGTTTTTTTAATGACAACGAATACCTTGTGTTTCGATGCCAACGTAAACAGAGAAACGGAATTTCTTTGCACAAAACCCGTATTCTTAGAAGGAATCGGTAATCTCCGATTCTCGTTATCTGAACAGTGGAATTTTCGGGTTCCGTCCCGAAGCGGCCGCGCCGTGCGACGTCCGGAGCTGAGCGATCGGTAGTCGGTGTTAACGAACGAGCACAGAAGTCGCAGAATCTTAATTGGACGGGTCAGTCCGCGGCACGAAAACGACGGCCATTAGTAGAACATAATCCCGAGCGGCGAATTCTATCGCGGATAATGGATTATTCCGCGAAGATTGGGCGCGCTATTAGATTTCTAAATTAGCGATTTATGTGAGCCCGACCGGCCTCCGGGTCGTTACTGTTTAATCACTGTGTTTAATCGGACGCTGGCGGCTGCCGGTAGCTCGGCCGCGGACTCACGGACTCGGCCGTCTCTATAATTCAGCAACGACAAGAAAACGCATCTCCTCAATCGATCGTTAAAACCGGGACAGTCCTTGTTTGCTTTGTTTAATTGCCGTCCGACATAGCCGGACGTAATTGACGCCGTCCTAGCTGTAAATCCGTCAAACGATCGCGAGCTTGTTAAAACGATCGAACGATCGCTGATTACAGAATGCGGGCAGGGAAAAATCGCTCCGCGCCGCGCGGCGTGGCGTTGCGCGGCGCGGCGGCGACAGTAACTTTCGGTTTCATTAATGATTCCCATTCGGCCCGTTTCAGACGCTGGAAACTCGCGGCTGAAGCGCCATTAAAACATTACCCACCGTCGTAAATAACTCGCCGCTCTCTTCCTATTATGTACTCCGCGCGCTCGTTTATTCATTCATTCGCGTCGAATCGAGTGTCGTTTCGATTCTCATTTGTCTCTCGATCCGCGCCGGGTCGCACGAGATTATTCTCATCCGTGCGCGCGGGGGGGAAAAACGCGAACGCCCCGACGTGGACGCGAATAATCGATGATTTACGGCTGCGCGAACTGTGAGAACCGCTCGGCCGATCCCCTTGGCACTTCGATTTTAGCTCGGAATCCCCCGACGGTTTTTACGGTCTGTCGCGCCCGGTGAAACGCGCGTCACATATTGCCGCGATCCGATGCCGATTACGACCGCTCAACTTTCGCTCGCGCGGCGGCCACTTTTGCCGGACGGATAATAGAAATCGTGGCACAATTTAAAATTCACCTCGTGCACGGACGTAATACGCAATTTGACCTTTTCGGCGTGCACACGCCTCGCGAGCCGCGCTCCGGTCGCGGCCGAGCCACGGGAAATCGGCTCGAGCGGCGGGATCCCGAGCGGAACAGCTTCGCGCGATAATTTTCGTGTTTTATTATTATACACGTTTAGGTAATACGTGCCGCGACTTCTATATCGAACGTTTCTGTTTCGACTTGCGCGAATCGGTTGAATAATATCGACCGAGAGCGTCGGAATCACGATCGTCGTCGTTCAGGCGCGATCGGGAATAATTTTGTGTTCTATTCGAGAAATTAATTATTTTGTAAATTTCCGAGCGTTACGAGACTCAGGTGAAGCGATCGCGATCGCGGTCGCGGAAAGAATGTAGGAATGGGAACGTGATTTTCAGTGATTGTACTTTGATAAATGTATTTTACAACATCTCCGGGGGGATTGGAGGAAAGTGTCGTAAACATTTTATTCGCGGATCGCGCGGGGTTCGTTACTGGAACGATCCGGACGAGAGGTATTGTGGGAATTGAAGGTTGTCCAAGCGGATTCCTGTTAAACACCTTCGGATCCGCGGCGATTTTCCGCGGAATAATTAAAGAGAAGAGAGACCGTGTCTGATTTAATCTCCACTTCATATTACGTCTTCGCGTGCAGCGCGAGGCGCTGGTAATCACTCGATGCTCTCAACAAATATCATGTACCAGTGACCTTTCCGTAATAGTGTATACCATCCACAAACACCAGGCCGGCGCACGTTTCTCCGCAGAAATTAATTGACGTGCCAGCGACCGCCGCGGATTTTTATGAAATCCATTTTACACATCGGACGACCGCCGAGAAATTACTTATTAACTTTCGAAACCCGAGGGGGGAAAACTGGGGAAAAAATCACTCCTCTATAATTTCCCTTAATTAAATCCGGAGTCACGTAGGCCTCCGCTTCTATTATCGTTCGCGTTACGATACGAACATCTTAAACACCATCGTTGAATTTCAATTCACGCGGATTCCCCTGGCCGCGCGATCAGAAAGATATCGAACTATCCCGGCGCGAATACGTTTCCACTTTAACGAAATCTCTAGTAACAATCCGATCTTTGCTTACAATCCGACCAATATCAATAATCATCGTTAGCTAACCGAATTCTGTCATTATTCCCGTGTACCGAACTACCAAGACCAAAGTAACCCATTCCAAAAATCATATCTCGCGGTTATTATTAAACAAACCGTTGCGTGACACTAACGAACTAACCAAACGTTACGAACCGAAGTTCCCTACATGCATAATATATAAGAAAAATCTCGATTTTCTAGCTTCATTAAAATCATTGTTTCGACTGCACAGATTACACCAAATTTCAAGAAATTCGAGTCGTCCAATCGTTGCAAGAAATTATAAATAATTATAGATCTAACGGCTCGACAACCATCGAAACTACTCGAATCGTCGAACAAAACGGTGTCGTTCAAGTGAACCGGAACTCGCGCATCGAGCGAATAAAGCCGATGATCCAGCGCGCGGTGGGGCCGTTGACGGATTTACACCGCGATTGTCGCGGCGATTCCGCGCGGATCGAGGTTGCATCGCGCGCGACCTCGTCGAGGGGGGAGCATCTTGTCGAGGTCATCGACGAGGACCTCGGGAACGGGGTCACGTCGGGATTAGCGTTCCCGGTTCGCGTACAAAAGCGGCCGTGCCACTTCTGCGACGGCCATAATGCCGGCGTGCACCATTTCCACGGCGCGGCGGCGTCTCTCTCTCGTGGGAAATCGTTGTTAAATGGCGGACCTGAATCCACTCCGCGGCCGTTCTTGCGAACGTTTATGAGCTTCTGTTTAACGCTAACAACCGACCGTTCGCGCTCGTTCTTCCCCGCATTTTCGTGCCTAATAGCCGCCGCCGCGTTTAGAACGCGCTCGCGGGAGAAAACAGACTACTTGTCTTGGGGTTTTCTATATTTAAACCTGATTCACAGCTGCGGTCGACTGTACCATCGGTTTGAACCGTGGCTTCTAATGATCCTTGATGATGCGACGTGTGTAGTTCGATGAAAGACGGTTAGGTCGAATGTAATTAAAGTTCGTTGATCTTCGCGTTGGTTTGTTGACGATCATTGTGGTAAATTCTGCTGGTTTTGTTATAATTGGCAATTGTCAACGATTAGCGGTCGGTGAGGATGACGGTTGACGAGCAGTTAGTAGAATTTGTTGCAGGAAGTAGCAAACTGTGCGATTTCATTGTTGAAATTGTACGTAATCGGGAGTAAGCGAGGATACAAACTGAAAAATCCGTCTTTGTGCAACATTGACATCGAAAATTGACAACTTTTATGAAGATATACTTAATAAACATTGTTCCCTTCTCGATCAAGGCAGCGAAATAGCTAATTTAATGGTGATTGGTCGTTGAACGCGACTGCCTCGGTAAAATCCGCGATCGCGGCGTGACCGCAGAGTTGCTCGCCGGTGTGAATCGAGCTTTACCAGACGCTCGGTTTTTCGTCGCGCCGGTTTCCTCGCTCCGACGTCTATTTTCGCGTGAGCGCGATCGGCGGCCACGCGAAATTAGAGGCGAGAGGATTGGAGAGCTCCGCGAGCGATTGTACTGGGTCACTGGCACGGAAATCTGGCTAATCAGCGTGAGAGTTTTTTCTAAAGAAACGTTCGGTTCGGAGTGGTTCTTCGTAAGGTAGCAAACTAGAAGTGTGTGACGTTTCTTGCCCCGAATACCGCAGAGCAGATCTATTTATCTCGACGGAATCGTCGAAGAATTTCCAATTTATCGCGAGCATTGTTTTCCTTAATTGAAACGGTTCTTTCCAACTGTTGCTTAACCAAAGTACATTTCGGAATTCTTAAGTGTTTCCAAACGTTATCGTCACCTATGTTTCGAGAGCAATAACGAATCGTTACCTCGACAAAAACACTACCATCGCTCCTCCGAGTCAACCAGAAAAACAGTCGCAGAGGAATCGGACGATCGAGGCTGATTTTATTACGCGCGTTAAATCGGTGTCATAAATTCAAAGAAAAATCTGTCGGGCTACAGGCATCGCAGAATTTTCTCGAATTGCTCGCTCGTAAATCGCGCGAGAGAAAATCGACGCGACGTCGAGTCATCCGCGGTGAAGGCATCAACATCTAACGTAAGATCTATTTACGTAACTCGTGTTTCATGGAGCCCGCCGATCGGTTACCGATATCAGCTCTATTGTTGCTCGGAGAGCCGAGCGCTCGCGCAATAATGTTACACCCGGTGCGACTCGGTCCGACCGATCACGGTAATTAACCCGTCAACCGTGAAGGTCACCTTAATTCCGTCGTCCGCGCACGGCGATCGCCTCGATGACCGAATCGTCGGATCGGGATCCGAGTCACGTGTAAGTGCCTTCGAATATCGAGACCGTTCGCGTTCGAGTGTATCCTCGTCGGGTAATTAGCATGCAGATGTCTCGTAAAGCATACATAGATTTAATTATCACGTCATTAGCAATTACGCACGACCGGAAGGAGGGACGCGCGTGCGTCCGATGAATTTGTAATGCTAAACAACGTCATCAGCGACGCTCCGGACGGGGATTCGCGCGCGCACGTGTCTTGTAGCGCGTTTACGTGTTTGCACCGATCGAACGAATCGCGAGCGAATATCTGCGTGTACCGGACGATGAGTAATTTCACCTTGCTGTGGCCTTCGACTTATGTTGCGTATTTATTATATTATTGATCTATCTATTATATCTTCTATATTATCAATTTATATGAGGCGCTCAGAAGACGATTAAAACGATCTTTTCCTATTCTTTTTCTGCAAACTTCAATGGAACAAACAATCCTGTTTCTAGTTATTCAAGGACTCTCAATCAAACGTTGAACTATGAATTTTTCTCTGCTCAATCTAAACCGATTCGCCTCGATCTATCCTCATTATCGGTAGTCAATGTCCCATTTAAAATATTCAACTATCAGCGCGGCTAGGAAAAGAAATTTCACGATTTCTCCCTTGCCAAAAATCGAGCTGACGTCGGAGAAGGGAATTAGCTCCACCCTCGAAGTTTCCAAGGGGTAAGCGACACAAGACATACGTTTTTCATTGGCACGGGAATATTCAGATTCCAGAATTCTAAATTGTCAACTTCCTCCAAGCTTCCTCGTGCAAAAGGCTCATCAACGAGAACCCGTGACCACAGAGCATTAGAAACAAATTCGATGATCTTCCTCGGGAATACTCGAAGGAGGCTGATTCTAGAATTCGAACGTTCCCTCGTTTTTCTCCTAATAGTCCGCGCGCTGGAGCTTTCCCGTGCAAGAGGCTCGTTAATGAACGGTCCGTGACCGTCGAATATCGGAAAGAAGTTCGATAATATTCTTCCAGCCAGCATTCCCGAAAGTAACGATCGTCCCGCTCGCCGGCTGGTAGTTGTAATCGTCGCTATCGGAAGATTAATCGGGAATTCCTCGGCCGGGGGATCACCGGTTGTCGAGGGACCGTTAAGAGAGCTGTGGGTGGGTACGACCGCGACGCGAGGAGCCGATGATTTCATTGAATTGTCACCGAACACGGAAGCGAGCGGCCGCGGCGCGCCGCGTGCCGTGAGAAAAGCGACAGTGCCACGGGGATCCGGCGAAACCCGCGAAAGATAACGATACGTGAGAATGTCGGCCTCTTAAAATCCACCTCGTATAATCCGCGTACGAACCGCGGCGAATGCCTATTACCGATCCCCGGTTTTATTACTCGGAAACGGGCATTCTGTCATGCCATCTGGCATTCATAACTCGCGATTACGAGTATATTAACCCCTCGCCGTGGCACTGACGTTCGGCAGACGTCGTTTGCTTTACGTGCTTTCGGACTCCGACGTCCCGGTGTCGCGGGGAACCGGGCTCCGGTGGATTCTGGGCTGATCAGCGGCGTCGTTTGTTCGATTTCAATGTGTTCGTGTCGTCGCGATGCAAGGGTGATCGAATATTCGCGGCAAATATCTTTGCAAGGTACTTGTTAACACGTTTTCAGACCGAAAATGAATTCTCATTGAAAAACAAAGAACTTTTTAAAAATTTACTATAGAATCAAAGATAGGTATTTTAATATCATGTATACTGCGGTTATTTAATTGATTGTAAAAATGTAGGTCGTATACGCCTCATACAGCCTGAAGGGAAAATCTTAAAAAAATGGTCCGGCACGTATTAACAATACATCTTTTCAACAAACCATGACAAACCGTGTTCCACTGGAACGTGAAAATTCCAAAGTGCCCGGAGATCTCGGAACAATACGATCGCGGAAGGACGGAGGATCGAGAACGAGGCTTGACAGCAGGTGCACCGTGGATCCGTGCGAACGGGACGCCGTGGCCTCGCGAGGGAGGGGAGGGAAGAATTGCCGGAAGTGCAAGTGGCGTCTTGCCGTGGCAGGTCAAAGATCGCGCAGCGGTGCTGACCCAGTGCTTCGAGGGGCTGCAAGCGTTGCGAACGCTTGCACACGGGTCCCGAGCGACGGCACGGATCATCGCGCGAACCGAGCGAACGGTAATTTCACGGACGATCACGAGCATAAATTAATATCGCGGTTATCTGATCGTTACC